TGAGCACGGGGCTAATGTGATTGCTGAGATAAAATGCAACATTCATAAAACCACCACGTGCCAAGGAACTGCTGAGCGGCCTGGGCCAGGTGCTGATGTCAGCTCCTCCAGCAGATTTCCACTCTTTCAAATGGATTATTGTGGCTTTACATTGGCGATTGGAGTCTGGCCAAAGAGTTTTGCCTTTGGTACACGACAAGTTGATTCTCTAGGACAGACGTGGCCTTGCAGAATAGCTGGGAACTGCTGCAACCTGCTGTTTGCTCCACTGAGTGAGAAGACGGTACGTTACTGTGGCTGCTGTAATCTAATAAGGCAAATCTATGGTGGGAATGAAAGTGCTGTGCATCCATCCCATAGCTACCTTGGGACACTCTGTGTTACTTGTGTAAGAGTGTTCCAGCCTGGGAAGGACCTTCCCCTGAGGGACTGATGCTTTATATCCATGAGTGGTTTTTTTTTGTTTCTCAGGGAATATGTTACATTACTGGGGCTTACTAAGATCCAAAGTGTTTGTGTTAACATAAAGATTTGTGCATCCCTGCTGAGATCTGCTGGGTGTGTGTGTCTTACGGGACACAAACAGAGGTGTGGAGCTAAAAGAGCTGTAAGTCTGAACAAGCACATGGCTGCTCACTGCCATGGAGGGCTGGGTCACTCTGGCTGCACAGCTAACGCCTCCGACTTGCTTCTCAGCACTAATAAGGAGCAGAAGGATGCCTTATCAGAGATGCAGTTCCTGTTATCACTCTGGAGAGGCAGAGATGCTGCACAATGCAAAAGAAAGGATGGGGGAGCTGTGTGGTGCCTGATAATAAAGCTGCGGTTGTCTCCGCTGCCTTTATTTACTTAGAACTGCCTTGTAGCTGAGCTTAAAGTTTAAATAATACTAAAGAAAGAAGACAGAAATCAAATACCATACAAAGCAAAGTGCCTCAGTGCTTCCAATTTAACGGCTCATGTGAGAACTTGAAAGGAATCGTACGTGATAATGAGTCATTTCATCTCAGTGATGCTGATGAAGGGCTGCTCCTCGTTGCCGCAGCTCCAGAGGGGAGCCAGAGCAGTGGGGAGCAGCTCTAGGAAGGAGGAGAGCAGGAGGCTGTGCTGTGCAGCAGACTGAGAGAGCAGCAGGGAAAGGTGAAAGGGAGGAGTTGGGTGAGGAATTCCCACTTGGCTTTGGTCAGTGTGAGTTCTGCGTGGCTCAGACTCTGAGAATACCGACCTGTAGGGAGGTTTAAGAAGTGTTTTTCTGTTCACAGCATGAACAAACTTGTCATAAGAAAACCACGAGGCTGAGCAGGAAGATGAATGTGGACTGTCCTGCTGAATTCATGCAGAAGAGACCAAATAAATGATACCCTGTGACATTTGTGCAGCCAAAGATGGTATTTGTCCAGCCAAAGCCAGTAGCTGCATACTCAGCAGACAGGAACTCAATATAAACCTGCTCTTTACAGATAAATTTTTAGCCTTGGAGACTTTTTCTCAAAATCTGGCCTGTGTTTTCTGCTCCAACTGCCTTCTAAATCCGTACTGAGCAACTATCCATTACAATTCATCCCTTTTGATCCCAGTTCTGGCGAGCTGAGCAGGCTGTACCACTTGGTATTACTTACCAAGTAGGGTTTTCACAGCCAACCTCTGAAAAATAGTAAATCTGAAGGGAAAATCCTTTTTTTTTTTTTTTTTTTTTTCATTCATTAAAAGCATTACAAATGACCTTTACCTGCTGCAAACATAATCCATTAATAATGTGCCTTGTGCTGGACAGATGATGGGGATCTTCCGCCTGAGGATTAAGGGATTGTGCAAACTCATCACTGCTGACGCACTGAGAAAATGTTTACATTTCTTCAACTCACAGGTGGGACCGTCCTCAGAGGTGCTAACACCTAGAGCAGGGTGCACGTCCATCTTGTGCCCACCTTGCTTTGAAAAGCTTAGCTCGAGTGTTGGAGTTTTTGTGTTTGCTGAGAGTGCGGTGGGCTCATTGCTGGTGTGATCCTGGAAGGGCTGTGCTGGGCTGCAACACAGACAGCATGGATTTCCCAGCTGTGAGTGAATGGGAAGAAGGCAGAGGATGTTCACTTGTCACCCTCATCCATCTCAGCTCGCTGAAGTTGCTATTGCAAATAGAAGTTAAATGTTGAGAATGTAGCAAGCAGCGCAGACAAAACCTCACACACTGCTATTCTTACAGCTGAGGCAGCTTCATGGAGACTGGGACGTGTCAGGGTGATTTATCACACAGCTTCTGGAGAAAATAAACAATTCTGGTGGCAGAAAAGAGCTTTCCTCATTGAAGAGCCATCAGATTTGCCAGGACAGTAATGGGCCGGGGAGATGGCCCCAAGGGATGGGCAGAGGCATGAGGAAGCTGCCGGGTGAATGGGCAGCAAGCAGGGCTGTCACTGCGCTCGGTGCTGCAGCAAACTTGGCAGAAAACTGACCTGCTCATTTTCCACTGTCAATCCTAGAAATACAAAGAAAATAAATAGTAGCTACTCTGTGAATGTAAGCCTACGTTTGGAGGGCTGGCAGAAAGGTGAGGGCTGCCCCAGTGCTGGGACCACACAGCGTGCGGTTGCATTCTGCTTGGACCGCTCTTTCTGCACCTGTGTGATGAGCCCCAGTGGCTTCATGTGATAAGCTGATGGGGATAGTGGGGCCCAATGGCACGTGCCCCATAAGAGATGCATTGTGAGTCCCATAGAAACCCTTAGCCTTCCTGATGGGGTTCTGATGAAGGCTCTGCCCTTCGGTCCCAGCTGTGCCCTCAGCACAGTGGCCTCCAAACACCATCACCTTCTTGCCAGCGACAGCTGCAGAAGTGTGTCCAGATCTTATATTAGGTCTCATTAGGGGCTCATCCTGATAACATTCATTAGGCTTTTGAGGTTAATCTTCACAGATTCATGTCATATTTCTTGCTTAAATGACAAGCCTTGTTATGATCCCCTCTCTAAGTGAAAGGAACGCTGGCAGTGGCCCCATGAAGAGGTGGAGGTGGGATAGCCTGCAGCCCGGACCCTTTGCAGGCAAAGCTTTGTGTAGCCAATTAACGCAGGGTTAACTCTCAAGTTCAGCTGTATAATTACATCTGCCTTTTCTCCTTATATTCGTCTGGATTAATTACATCTGTGCTGCTGAACAATTCCTCCTAATTGCAGACAAGGAGCATCCTCCTTCACCCAGGGTGCGACAGGGCGGTGGGATGGCTGGGAGTAGTGAGATGCTCCATTCAAGCTGTGCTAATTCTGCTCAAGATGAGGCCCATGTTTTCTTCCCTGGAAACTCATTATATAGGTTATTGGCTACTTAGAGCTGCCAATAATAGATGCTACTGTGCTGTAGCATTGTGCTTCCAGTGCCCAGACTGTTACCCTCATGAGAAAAGTGGGTTAGAGCAGTGAAAATAGTTCACCTGCTTCTCTGGTGACGGAGCAGAAGGTAAATCTGGGAGCCTCGGTGGGACTCAGGAGCTTTCTATTGCTTTTAACAAGTCAGCACAGTTTTTGGATGCGTGCAGACGGTGGTGGGGTGAAAGGGAAAGGAGTATTATTCACCCAGAGCAGTCTGCTGCTTTTTCTGGTTCCCAACCATCCATGCCACTGGATACTTATGACAACCACAGTGCTTTTTATTGTCCGGAGGGTTCTCCTGAGCATATTAACGACTTAAATCTCATTAAAATCTAGCAGGAGCCGAGTTCTGAAATCTCATTTGTCTTAAAGAGTATGAGGTTGTGTTTTTCAATTAAAGGAGGTTTTATCTCCTCTTCCTCTGGATGGCCTGTGCTGAGCAGGTTGCAGCACCCAGGACTCCACGTACTACTTGGCTCTGCAGTTTCAGAGCTGCTCACAAGGTACAGCTGGGCTAATAAGTGATGCTTCAGCCCATTATCGAGGAGGTATGGTGCATGGATTGAGTCAGTTAAGTGATTATATTGGGAATGTATGGGGCGATAAACGTCTCCCTTGCTCATAACCCAGTGGCTAATGCAAAGAGATACTGCTAGACTGCTCTGTTTCTGCTGGGCTCTACTGCATTTAAATTGCAATTAGGTTGTATATTTGAAGAAGAAGGAAAAAAAAAAAAAGCACAATTCAGCTGCAGTGTAATTCAGTGAAGGTGAACTTCACCCCTGTTCTGCACTGGTTTACAAGGTGAGTGCTTCACAACCACCAGATTTTGACCCAGAGGGTTCGTTCCACCTTGACCTCCTGTGTCTGAAGGTAACGAGTTGTTCATTCTACTGGAAGCATCTGGAAGGCCTGCATACCTGGTGTAGCTGTTTGCCTTTCCTGAGTGGGTTACCCTTAGTATCTCAGTGTCCTGAACTGCAGTCTGAACTTGGTGTGGAGCTGGCCCATTCTCTGAACCCCAAGTGCTCAGGTGAATTTAAATTCAGGCCTTTATATGCAGTGTGGTTGGATTAGACATGACCATTTGTCCTGGTCAGCCAGCATCCTTGCTGCAACATACAGGTCAGCCTACCTCCAGCAGTGCCCTCTCCCCTTTTAACTGCTGAATTTGAAACACAATATTTTTGTTCAAACAAAAACAGTTCTGCGAGACTTTTACAGAAAACCAAGGACAGGAAGCTGAATTTTTTGCTCTGCTCTTTTGAAGGCTGAGTTTTCTCATGGAATAAGGCAGTGGCAGGAAATGGAAGCAAAAAAAAAATTGAAAAAAAAAAAAAAAAGTGGATCATCATACTTGGTACAGTCTGTAAGATTTTGAAAAAGCCATTTGATTCTTATCTATGGCAGTGATTGCCTTGCTCTGTCCTTAGAATCACACCTGTATCTGAGAGCGTCACTTGACTGTGTAATGTACATTTGCAGGTTATTGTAAAAGGCAAAGCATTGCTTTTGCTCATTAAAAAGAGAGACTTAAAGTTCTTTGCCCAGGTGGACAATACAGGTAGGTACCCAAGGCAAGGTTGATACAGACAGCTGTGTTGAAGGTCCCTGGGCTCTGGCCTATTGCACAGCCCCACCTGCTTTGCTTTATCACTTCCCTCATCAGCCCAGCCAAGCTCCCAGATGGATTCTTGCCCTGAAATCAAAAGGGCAAACCTGAAATCAAAATTAATTAATATCTGATCATTTGGAATTCGTAACTTTGAAACAATAGAACAATTACAGCATCTGAAACCCATGAGCCATTAATGAGGCTGTCATAAAGCTGCAGTGTCAGCTCAGAAGCTGCTCTCATTGCACACAGGAGGGTGGTCAGCAGCCCCAGGCAGGCGGTCAGGCACAGTGCTGCCAAACGTGACTGCTCACCCCTTCATCTGAGAGATGGTTGTTCATTAAAGGGAAGAGAAAGCCATGAGAACACTGCTTGTCATCTGTAAATAGCCAATTCCTTCCAAAGTTCACATTCTTGCCTGGTGATTGATAGAGGAGTTCATGAATGCTTTAAATGCATATAACTAAGTGACAGCTGAAAAAGGTTACTTCCCTGTTTGGCAGTAACTGGCTTTATTAGGGATGGATTTGTGTGCATTTTGTCTTCCTTCATCTTTTACCCAGGTGAGCCGGTCCTAGCCTAGGAACTGCCCTGGGTATTTTTGCTTGAAAACTGTGTTAGTACCTCCTGCAACATCTCCCAGTGCCAGCTCTTCCCATGGGTGTGCTTGAGAGAGTACTGATGGGAGAAAAAGGTCACAGGAGAGGTGGGATGTTGAGAGAAAAGTGGGGAAGTGAAGGAGAAAAGAGACTTTGCCCTCTTCTACAAAGAGCATGTGTGAGCTGAGGCAGTAAACAGAAGCGGATGCATGAGGGTGAACAGGAAGGAGGGATGAAGGCAGAGGATGTGGAAGAGCGAAAGATGGAAGAGAATGGAGGGTTCCTCTGGTCAGTTCTGTTTCTCACTGGGTAGTTCAGATGAACTAATATGAATTAAGGCCTCTTAAGTTCTAAAGAGGAGGGTTTGTGACATGATCTAAAACGGTTTAACTAATCCACTTTAAAATTAATTTGGTTTAATTTTCCTTGGGGCCCCCATGTGGATATACTCTTAAATACCAAGAATAAATAACAGGTAACTCGGTTGTAAATCACCAGAAGTAATTGTGTACCTACTCACCTATTGTAAATCAGCAGTAACTCCAGTGGGGCTGATTCTCTTCTTGTATACCTGGAATAAATGAAGAGCAACTTGCTGTGAGTCAATAAAGCTAATTTTCCTTCTCTACTTCCCTGGATAAAACAATAGCGAGTCCAGGGGCAAGCTGAGAGAAATTCAAACCAAGGAGGTTCATATTTCAACTTCCGACAATAATTACCTGCTGGAACAACAGACCAAGGACTGTGATGGATTCTGTGTGAACGTGGACTTTTTCTGTCAATATGAGGTAATTTTCTAAGAGAATAGCGAACATCCCATAAAAGGCTGAGATGGAGTTCTCATCTCTCCCTTGGTTCCTGTGTTTGCTGTTGCCATGGTCGTGCTCGGAGGGGAAAGGTAGCATCTTAATAAGCCCTGCGTGGGGCTTATGGCTATGAAAAATAATGAGTGATAGCAGCGATGGTGGATCGTATGTAGTATTTTTTTCCTCTTCTGACAATACTGCCTCTGGCAAATGTACCACTCAAGTTGAAACGAATTCTGTGTTGCACGCTGAGGCTGAGCTCCATCCTACCGATGCAGTTTGTGCCAGTGTGAAATGTGACAGAGTCCAAACCAGCAGAAAACATAATTAGCAAAGCGAGTAGAATCCCCATCTGATGTCGTGGCACTTTGCACCCTATTGACACAGGAACGACCAAGTTGCACAGGCTGTTGAACAAAGCACCACCAGCATGGTTCTCAGTTTGATGGCAGAAAAGAAATGAACCGAGGTGCTGTAGCCCAAATGGCTGTAAAACTGCCCTGAAGGAGTATTGGCTGAAAGAGGAGCTCCCATGTTTCCTTCCTCTTCAGGAACAGAAAAACTTACCGACAAGGAAGGGGTTCCTTCTTCCCAGTGTGACTTAGAGGAGGTGGTGGACACTAGGTCATGTAAGTGAGGTCTGTTCTCTCCTTATCTCAGGCTGAGTGGATTGGGTTCAGCCCACAGGTTTCATCTTGAAGCATGGGATGCAATGTCTTGACTAGAAAATTGCTCTGAAATCCTGCTCAGCCTTCCAGTAGAACCTCGGTGTGTCTGTGAGGTTCTCCTCCCTCCTTGGGTCTCCTCTCCCCTCTGCAGGAACAGATTGCAGCTGAAGTTTTTGTAACAATTTGGTTCAGCTGTGCTTTACTTTCTGAGCTCTTGGGTATGACTCAGAATTGATCTTCAAACTCTTCAGGGTTTTTCTTACTTGAGAGGATAAACTCAGCGCTGCTCTCATTTGCAGGAGTACAATGCCAGATGCTATCCAGTCTGTAACCTTCAGGAAAGTGAATGCCTTGCCTTCGTAGCCTAGTGATAGGAAAGCCCAAATTGAAATTGAAAAGTGAAAAAAGACTGGTAACTTTATTGTCAAATACTATTGATCAGAGCTTGGCTGCCCTTTGCTTGCACTGTGTTCATCATCCAGCCCTGAAGTTGTTAAACTGGAAAAAAGAAGTGGAACAAGGGGACAAGCTGCTTTTGGAAGGGCAAGCAGATGCCTTCTGGGGGGATCTTTCACTTCCATGATGGAAGATGGATGGGAAGGTGGTATGGCTTCACGTGCAGGAATGGATGCATGCCTTATCTGATCTGTAAAGTGTGTTTGTGGGTAAGGACATGGCACACCTGCATGTGTGCACCCAAAGCACACAGCATTGAAACAGCTGTGTGAAGGAGTAGAGAGGCTGAGTGCACACAGAACTACTGGATGTTTTGTTCATCTGTCTTTCTGTCCAATGTGGAATCATACAGCCTGTGCTTTAGTTGTTGACATGAGCCCCCAGGAAAGCACAGCTGAGCTCAGCACTGCCATCACGATGCTGTGCTGAGGGGTGGCAAGGGGCGAGCTCCCCTCTGCGCCCACCACTGCCTTCCTGGGCAGCAGAGCAGCCTCTGTCTGATAGGGCTGATCCTGGGAGTTAAGGGCTTATTCCTCCATCAGCGCATTGATGAAAAGAGAAGCGGAGCTCGGGGAGGAAAGCTTATGAAAAGAAAATCAAATCTATCAATTCCCTGTCCTGAATAAATGAATCTGTTATCTCGTGCGTGTAGCGAGATGCCCGGCGGGTAATGGCAGTTCCACCTTCAATCAGGAAAGGGAAGTGAAAAAAAGAAATAGAAAAGAAAAAAAAAAAACAACAGAGAGAGAGAGCAAAGAAAATCAAGCAGCCCTGAGTGTGCCTCGTGCGGAGTCACAGGTCTCGAGTTGCTGCTGCCCATAAAGGGAGCTTCGTGTCCGTGTGCGCCTCGCCTGAAAGCGAACGGAACAGACGCCAATAGGTGGCGCTTAGGGATGCGCGGAGATGCGGGGGGAGGCGATGCCCGCTGTGCGCCCCGCAGGCGCAGCCCCGCTCCGCTCCGCTCCCCTCCCGCCGCCGGCAGACGCCTCTTGTTCCCCGATTGGTCTCATTTTGATTTTAAACAAGACAAAATCTTTGGAGATGAGATAAGCGAGGCTGGTAAAACCAGGTCGCCAAAGAGCTGGCCTGGGTATATTGTGGGTAAATCACTGTGCTACCTGCTGTGACAGGAGTAATTTATCTCGGGCTGAAAAAAGCTACTGCTTCCCATCCTGAGCAGTAAGGGTCATTCATCACTTTTTTTGTTATTTTTATAACAGAAAAGAGTGCGCTGGTTCCCTCCCTCCATCCCCTCCAGCCAGTCCCCAGGGACAAATTAACCGGTTTGAAAATGGATGAGCTCAGGGACTGTTTTCATTTGCGTTTTTAATGGTGTCACAGAAACCCCCTCCATTCTGCAGCACGCCCTTTAGCACTGCTATGCATGTGGAGGAAGGTTCAGAGCTCCCACTGCTGCTCACCTGGCAGCTGGCTGTGCCGAGAGCCCTCTGAACCCACTGCAATACAGCAGGAGCCCGGGGCAGCTGCAAAGTGCACAGACTGGTGTGAGGAAGCCTCGGGGATTCTCAGGACTGCAGCCCTTGCTGTCAGGAATGAGGGCTGTCTCTGCTCCTGGAGGGGGAATGGGATCCTGCCCTGAAGTCAGAGCCGTCCGTCTGTGTGTCACAGGAACACACAACCCTGTTTCATCATGATGCTGAGCTCTGCACAACCACACAAGTTGCGAGTTTCTACATACACAGACATCAGTGTTTCATCTGTTACTCAAGCTAAATGTGTACATATATTTGCATGTGTTCGGTGGATTGTTTTCATGATATAGACCTACTGAACACATGTATGTTTATATCATTGTACATCCCTGCCCAGATCTGCCACAGGAACACAACTTGCACTTGTGCCATGCGTTGGAGCTTTAGCATTTTGTTCTTCTCTCATCTCTGTATGGTTTGGGCACTGAAGAGCTGCATCCAGACAGCAAGAAAGAAGATTGGATAGCAGAGTCCTTCAGGATAATACAGATGCTACATGATCCCTTCATCACCGAAGGGACATTGCTTCAATTACTCTGCCAATCACCTGTCTCTCAGCCTGCCAGTCAATTATCCTACAGCCAAGGGATTCGCTTCACAGGGTAGCCAGAAGTGGCAGATATCTGTATTTTGAAAAGCCAGTTTTGCATAATTCTGTACACAAGGGAACAGAGCTGCAAGGTTGGCTCCAAAGTGCCACTTCTGTGGAAAATTTCAGGCCGGCAGGTGAGGTCTGTCTGGTGTCTGAAGTTACTGGGACATTGGGGAAGATTTCATTTGGAATGGTAGAAATTGCTTTTGCGTCTCATGCTTCACTCTAGTGAGTTTGTTCAGAGAAAGGGCAGTGAGAAGGGGACGGTGACTGCTCCTGCTGTTTGCTTCCCTCTGCCCTCCCCCACCTCTGCAGGAGCTGCAGTGCACCCTGCAAAAGGGATGGGGCAACCACTGGGCAAGGTAGATTTGGATTCCCTTTTATATCTTCTTTTGCGCTGTGCAGAGCAAAGCATATCACCTTCCTCTGCCCTGGTGTCCTGTCTGTGATAGCAGTGATTACTTATTGTAATGACTTGAGGACAAAGACTGTACAGCACTGAAGAGCTCAAAGGGTTTTCCTGGGGAAGCAAACTGGCACTGCTCCTTAGGGAGCAGCACTGCGCTGTGCTTGCTGTGTGTATGGTTCAGGGCTTCTCCCACAGCCTCAGTAAGAGCCATTTGTCTCCCAAAATACTCATTGGTTTCAATGAAGATTTGTGGGTTCTCTTTGTTATTAGTATCATTAATTCTCATTTAGACAGAATTTATGATCCTGTCCAGTGAAGTTTATACAAAGTGGTATACTGCAAATGCTCTTATCCCTATGGGAATGGGCGGCCCAGTAGTTTGGATGTGAAGAAATACCAAGTGGACAGGAGGGTGCTTGGACTGAGCAGCTCTCAGGCTCTGAGGGAACCTCTTCCTTTGAGCTCAGCAGGGTGAGGGACTGCAGGCAGCTGCTGTGCTCAGACATCATCTTTCCATGCCATCAAGCTACACCTCCACCTTCTTGCAAAGCTGAGGGACGCAAGAGGCTGTGTGTAGCTCTTGCCTTGGCTTGGACCACAGCTCAGTGGGATGACTCACAACCCAGCATTGCTTGTAATTTCATGGATCTAGCTCTGTTACTGGAACCTTACTGCCAGGTTGGTTGGTTTTTTTTTTATATTCATTCTTCCACTTAGACTCTTCGTTATCGCTGCCACTTGTTGGGACCAACAGCTGCTAACAGACACCAAGGGATTCCTGGCAGCTTTGTAGACTGTCTTTGAGTGCCTCGGGCAAAACCTGAAATGTATACAACGTGGAAATAACCCATACTATTCACCCACTGCATTGTGCCCTTCTTCCTCCCTGGGGCGTGGGGGTGGATGCATGGAGGGGTGGTCCTGTATTGAAACATACAAAAATCAGTATGAGGGGCTATATTTTTATTCTTAATTGCTAGGAAATCCTCTAGACCTTGATTCAGGAGAGTGACCTGATGCACAAAGCGTGGTTCCATTTGCTCATGTACTCATGTTCTTAGTTTGGCCTCAAGAGGAAGCAAAGCTCGTATGATCCTGTGCTATATATGCATCCCTTGCACTTACAAGCCACGTGTATGATGAAGACCAGGTCTCCAAAGCCCAAGGCCATACATCAGCATCACGCCGTCAGGCAGCTCGCTCAGAGGAAGCAGATGCTAAATGCTGGCATTTCCTTGGGTCACAACTTTATGCTCAGCTGCATTCAGCCCTACGTCCCCATTTCAGCTTAGACCTCTTGGGTTCAGGAAGGGAATTTCCTCCTTCGCTCTCAGCTTGCAGCAGCAATGCCCAGCCCCAGCGGAGCAGTGCTCACCTGGAGCTCACTGCAGTGCCTGATGAAGGTCTGTGGCTCTGAGATTAAGAGGTGCTGCTCAGGTTTGTCTTTGCTAATCTGGCTTTATTCAAATTGGCTGCTTCTTCTTTCATGTTAAACAAACAGACAAACAGAAAGCCTTAGGAAGCAAGATCTTGATTTCTTGATTAGCCCCAGCCCTGCTGGATTCTCAACCTGAAATCCATCTCAGTGATCTGATAGGAATTTTGTCCGTCCAGCGTTGGATGGAGAGCCACTCCTCAATTTTCACTTAATTCCTGGAATTTTGAGCTGGCTGAGAACTTTTTAGTGAGTGCTGGTCTAACAACAATAGCACTGCTTCCACAGTGTTATTCATCTAGGATCTGAGTGCTTGGCAAACAAGAAATAATTAAGCTTACCATCAACCCTCTAGGGTAGGTATTAGGATACTTACTTAACAGATGTGTAAACAGAGGCAGAGAGCTCATGTTTTCATGTTCAAAGCACTTCGTGAATGCTACCTAATTAATCCTCACAATGGCCTTGAGATATTTATTAGTTCCCTTCAAGGACAGAGCAAAGTCACCAGTAGAACCAAGGACTCCTATGTGCTTCTTGAGCAGCACGCTGCTCCCTGGGCTCCCACTGGGGACAGACAGCTCAGGACAGGGTTGGATTTTTGTTCAATTTGCTCAGTTCCATTTTTGGACATCTGCTAACAGCTTTCTCTGGTTTTTCTTAAAACTCTGAACCTTGAGTGACAGCAGGAACCCAGGCAGGAGCAGGCAGGCAACGCTGGGATTAGCAGCACCAGGAA